GATTGAACTAACCTCGTTATCTCCATACTGATTTATACCTGCCTCTGGAGATTTCCATTACTTGCATCTGAAGAAGTGAGGTTCTTACTCACGAAAGCTTATGCTCCCAATACTTCTGTTAGTCTTAAAGGTGCCACAGGACCCTCTGTTGCTTTATGTAGTGGTCTACTTCATTAACTGAAGAAGATACGCTGGAGAGTAGGGATAGGGTGCAGTGTGACCTAGACAAATTGGAGGATTGGGCCAAAAGAAATCTGATGAGGTTCAACAAGGACAAGTGCAGAGTCCTGCACTTAGGATGGAAGAATCCCATGCACCGCTACAGGCTGGAGACCGACTGGCTAAACATCAGTTCTGCAGAAAAGGACCTGGGATTTATAGTGGATGAGAAGCTGGATATGAGTCAGCAGCGTGCCCTTGTTGCTAAAAAGGCTTATGGCATATTGGGCTGCATTAGTAGGAGCATTGCCAGTAGATCAAGGGAAGTGATTATTCCCCTCTATTCGGCACCGTTGAGGCCACATCTGCGTCTAGTTTCCCTCCTCCCCCCGCCCCAAAGAAAGGATGTGGACAAATTGGAAAGAGTCCAGCAAAGGGCAATGAAAATTATCAGGGGGCTGGGGCAAATGACTTATGAGGAGAGGCTGAGGGAACTGGGCTTGTTTAGTTTGCAGAGGAGAAGAGTGGGGGGGAAGTGGGATTTGATAGAAGACTTCAACTACCTGAAAGGGGGAGTCCAAAGAGGATGGAGCTCGGCTGTTCTCAGTGGTGGCAGATGACAGAACAAGGAGCAATGGTCTCAAGTTGCAGTGGGGGAGGTCTAGGTTAGATATTAGGAAACACTATTTCACTAGGAGGGTGGTGAAGCACTGGAATGGGTTACCTAGGAGCCCTGGCTGAGATGATTTAGCAGGGGTTTGGACTAGATGACCTCCTGAGGTCTCTTCCAACCCTAATCTTCTATGATTCTATGATTTGAAATGTGATTCCTGAGAGAAGGAGGAAAGGAAAGTTCATACACAAGGCAGTATCAACCCTAACATTACAATTAGTAGCTCATAGCCAAAAAGTAGGATTTTCTGAAACATCCAAATCATTGAAAAGCATAGACTTTCAAGAGGACTTGTGCTGCTAAATCACTCAGACTGGGCTAAAATCCCACAATCACTGAATAAGAACGTTGGGTGCAAAGCAACTTGTTCTCTCTCCTCATTATCACGACCATACATTTAATGGCAATTTATGCACAAATGTCTATGAAAGAAGTACCTGTATTTTATGTTTCAAAGTGACTTTCCATGTAAGGCAGCCATAACTTGTTTTACCCCATGCTTATTTTCACAATTGGAATGAAGATAATACCAGAAACAAAGTTTCCATGCTTTAGTTATGCAGCTTTACAGCTAAAATCAATCAGGTAATCGATCTGATTGCATTCCTAAGATAACTTGAAATTGTTAGCCTTTTTTTTTTAACTGGGGGAATTAATTGTACACAATCCTCATGGCCATTGGTATATTTAGGAAAGAGAAGGAGCTGGGGTAAGGGGGAGCTCCAAGTATTCATTTCATTCTCAGAGTCTCAATCTGGTAAAGGACACAATTCAGCAGAAAAAAAAATAGACTGCATACCAATTTCTTTCTGGAGTTGCTCTGCAAGAAAAGAACAAAAATTTCAGTTACTAACTGTGCTAACATTGTGACAGATATGGCAATTTTCTCCCTTATAGTTATGAGATTTTAATGTATTAAATTTCTGAATCCTATTGGGCCAGGGGTTTTATGTAATTCCATGAGAGAGGGTAACCACAATCCAGCAGGAACTAAGGACAGTGTGTGGGGGTGGGGTGGGGGAGGGTTACTGAGCAAATTCACACCCCGAGAGAGGCCCCACATCCAGGGGAGGCTCCCATATGCTAATTTAAACTGGATTCTACCGAAGCCAACAGAAATAGAAAGGACCTTTGTTATAACAGCTGGAGTTTACACTGACTCAGGGCCTTCTCTCTGATCCAGCAAATGGACAGGACTTTCCATCAAGGTGTACAGGGAGATTTTTGGAAACCACTAAAGTGCCTAAACTCACTATTGCTTAATGCTAAAAGTTGTCAAGTCAGCAGTCCATAAATTGGTCAAGCAGTGGCCCTTAGCATAACCAAGGCAGGAGGGGAGGGGGGGTTGGGTGCCACAGACAGCGCAGCTTGACCCCACATCCTTCCTGATAAAAATGGTAAAATTGCTGATATATGCATTTTAGAAAAACTTGACGCTTGTCTATAATGTGTCTGACAGGGTCTCAAGGCATGAACACTCTGAAAAAAACCCACATCTGGTTAAACTGATCAGAAGGAAACCTCTTGCTTGACCTTTAAAAAACTGCTTGCTTAGCAAGTTTTCTTTAAGGGATATGTCATTGTATTACTAATGTAGAAATAAGGGGGAAAAGTTTAAGGTAGCTGGACTTCTCAGAAGGGACTCTTCAGGGATGCTCCCTCCGGATGCATCTTGGGGTCCACACCGGCAGACAGAAGTCTGGCCAGCGGAAGCCTGTCATGGTGCCACACTCAGCTTCAGTAATTATCGAGGGTTGAGGGTGTTTTATTAACCTCTTGCGGATGTGTGTAAGTGCTTGAGACTGTTAGGCCCAAAAATATGGAGTATAGAACAGGTTGTTTGGGCAGCTTAGCCAAAGTTAGGCTAACAGTAGTTGCTAGGCCATTCCTGC